CCTGGAGGCGCTAACTAACGACATTCCCGATTATTCTGTTCGACGCCCTTCGAATGCGGGTTTATAGCTGTCGGGGTATACAAACATGCATACTTAGGTATGTGTACCTACTTACCAGCGCAGCGGAACCCACGGTATTGCGTCTGACACGGAAACTCGCTCGTAAATTCCCGGCGAACAAATTTCCAGCATGTGTCGCGGCTATCTTAACTCCAGTGGCCCTCAACCGAAACCTGATTAAAAATTAACTCAATCAGTTGCTTCCAAATCATTTTTAATCGTACGTAAAACAGTCCTCCATGTACAATTTAAATTATAGTTGTTTTAATCTGAGAATAATATAAAAAATGCTATGAATTCTAATTAAAATTGTCCATACAATAAAATTTGATATATTACAGCTGAAACCATATAAATTATGAATTACAACTATGAAAATTTAAATATATTGTCAAAAGGAAATATTAAAAAATGTTTAATATTTCAAACGCTGGCTTCAATAATTTCTATTTAATAAAGTATTTAATAAGGTATTTAATTAAGAGCAGTAAATAGCATTTTGAAGAATGTCTATTAGGGACAATTGGCAATGAACTTTGACGATTACTAATTTCGATCGGAGGTTCGGAATTGCGCCAAGGCTGGAATTGCTCGGATACTTATGGACGCTAGTGTACGCGGAATGCACCGTTGTTGCATACTTTGCATAGCTAGCTTATGAATGCGTGAATGCATCGATCCCCCGGTCGTGGCATTGACTCGTGGCCGGGACGATCTTGACGATCTTTCAGCGCCGGATCGAAACCCGGTGATCGACGATACCCACGGGATCGGTCGCGAGATTGATGCCCTTACACGAGAAGAACGTATTCTTGAATCGATTGTACAGTCGCGGATTGGCCGGCATGAATCTTTCGTTATCGAACCGATACGCTGATTATTGATTCGATGCCACGCATCAGGTTGATGGGAAATAAATGGCCGGTTCAAATGTGCTGGGAACCGTCCTAGCGTACACGATAATCATTGCCAATTTTTCAGAAACGTACTGCCCGTGATAGATCAGTACGGCACAGTCGAACGTTTCATCAGGAATTTATAAGTCAATGTTTATTTAAGTGTAAACGCATTCCGAGATGTAACTTTAAATTCCAATAGTTATGACATGACGACTGTTTAATTCGTTTATATTATCTGATGCATGCGGAAATTAAAATTCATCGTATATAAAATTGGAATGGATCCTGAGGAAAAATTAATGGAACAATGAAAGGCACATTTAGTTGTTCACTAACTTAGGTTTATCAAACCAGATTCAATTTGACAAAGTTCGCGCGTCGTATTTTACACCGTTTCGAGGCCGTCCATTAAAATTCCTGGAGGCGCTAACTAACGACATTCCCGATTATTCTGTTCGACGCCCTTCGAATGCGGGTTTATAGCTGTCGGGGTATACAAACATGCATACTTAGGTATGTGTACCTACTTACCAGCGCAGCGGAACCCACGGTATTGCGTCTGACACGGAAACTCGCTCGTAAATTCCCGGCGAACAAATTTCCAGCATGTGTCGCGGCTATCTTAACTCCAGTGGCCCTCAACCGAAACCTGATTAAAAATTAACTCAATCAGTTGCTTCCAAATCATTTTTAATCGTACGTAAAACAGTCCTCCATGTACAATTTAAATTATAGTTGTTTTAATCTGAGAATAATATAAAAAATGCTATGAATTCTAATTAAAATTGTCTATACAATAAAATTTGATATATTACAGCTGAAACCATATAAATTATGAATTACAACTATGAAAATTTAAATATATTGTCAAAAGGAAAGAAGAACGTGCATTAAAATACATCAAATTAATAAAAAATACAATAAAAATGAAAATGATTTATTATGAAATATGTTAAACGATAGATCACATAATTTCTCAGTATTTCAAAAAGGAGGCTAATAATTCTCATGCACGGGGTCAAGTTTGAGAGCCGCTGCCGAAGTGGGAGCGGCCGGCAATCAGAATTTCGTACGTAGTCACACATTTAAACAAAAACACACATCGAGGCGGTGCCGAAGCACTACTATCTCAATCCGTACGCAAATGAGCTCCTCTGCCCTCTAAGGAGACAAGGCGATGAGCGTGTGCGTGCAAAATTGTACACACCAACACCCCCGTTACACTCACACGCCCGTACAGGGTACACTATCTAAAAACGTTCGGATACCTGTTTAATTTTGACGCGATACAGTTTAATCGCGCAGTCCCAACTGAAACGCCCGATCATTTTTACTCGCGTTGCAATTCACGCATTTAACTGAACTCGTTTCATCAAAGAGAAAATACGAAAACGTAATTTGCAAATGGTTCCGGAATGATTCTTCATAAGTGCAATTCATATAAATCAAACTCGAAATTAATATAATATAAACTGCATCAGATTTTTAATGAGTCACCCCTTACATTCATTTTCTATATTAATTATTAGCAGTAGTAATATTTTACTGTAATCAAATAATTAATTTAGAGATATTTTGTCGTACAGAATGAAAATATTTTGCGTATAATAATTCTAAAGCATGCACGATGTTGATTGTAAGCACTGAGTACACGCGTGAGCTGTAGGTGGTGCGGCGAGGGGAGGAGAGGCAAATCAGTGCCACTCAAAGAAATAACCAGTGCTCATTAAGAGTAATAACCCTTGGCTCTCTCGGCCAGACCGCCGCGCCGGGCCGATTGTTTCAAGGGTGTCACACGGATCTACTGCGCTTCGCTCTCCTCTCTCCTCCTTATTACATTACTCGTTTCGGGGTTGCGGCGGTAGACTTCAAACCGAATCGAACGAGCAACGGGACATGAGAATGTCCCACTTCAAACTACAGAATTTATCAATTTTATACGTGCTAAATTAAAAAGGAATATGGGACGAAAATTAACAGGAAACAATCAGAATCTTATTTTATATGTACGATTTGATAATTGCAATTTGGGCATATATCATCAGTAGCGTAAAATTGATTAAAGAATATGCTTCGTATTGCAATTAGGAAATCAAGTCTTTGGATATTCTTATTTTGTTAAGCATTTTGGATTAAGCATGCATATGATTATAAAAAAGTATAATCTGCATTCTGATACGCGATTTAATACGTGCGCTAACTTCAATGTTAGTTAGATATCCTGTCTTTTGAAATGTTTATGATTAACTTAAAAGACACTATAAAATGAAAGACTGTAGACAAAACGCTTCGTACGATATTCTCATTGGCATTAAACGGCGACGGTATGAATGTTTGGATTAGCTCTAACAGCTACTGATTGTCTGGTATCTTTCTAGCTTCTAACCGGCGAGCTCGCGTTATCATTGTCATTACGAAAGGAAACGTTTTAAGCCGCGTTAGTCGCGAGATTGAGTCCCCGTTGCGTTGGTTTCGTTCCAAGAAATTATTACGCTTAATTCAACGACGTAGACGAGAACGATCGTCGACATCTGGACGATTCCAGTTGCGCGTGTGCGTCGCGCCACGATTAACCGATTATTTGCACGACTCGCGATTGAATCCCGAGGCCTCTAATCATTCCCTGAAATTGCTGCATCGCGCCGTTTAATACCGAACGAATCATAATTCGATGTTCGAGTCAGATTACCAACGAGAATGCAGAATTAACTCGAACTCTTTCACTTTAAATAGAACATGGAACGATGAGTTTCTTAAAGTATAGACGCTGTATATGTAGATATTTGCATGCAGTCTCGATTCATCATTGAGCTGATTGCGGAATGTAACTGCAAAGTGTTGCAGCTGAACGATCGTTGTATCGATTCGATGTCGACGCGGAATAAACGTAACCGAGGGAGAGCGACAGAAGATAATATCCTGCCTGACGAGCATAATTACAGGCGAGCGTTCAGCGAATGAGTAGGGGTATCATTAACACTTCCTGCCTCGTAACGACTACTCGTCTGATACACGATACGCGACGTACCCACGTGCACGTCACTGCGTAAACCTATCAACCCGTCTAATCGACGTCAAGTAACTCAACCCAGGATCTCTCGATCGAACCTTGTAAAAACTGTCTCCACGTCCGAGATTCTTGAAATCGGGGGGGTAATGAGTATCGTCTTCGACGATTCCCTCTTACGCATGGACATTGTACTTCGATTTTAATTAATTTTTTTAAATTAGGATTTTATTATCATTGTTTGTGTCAATTAAACCTTGAAGTTTTATAGACTGTGAGATCTCTGTGTACATTGCAATTTCTTAAGAACATATGAAAATCGTTAACTACCATTGAACCAACCACTTGATTATTAAATCTCGTTAAGAAAATGTTTCTTTATTGTCTGAGAGAAGGTTTCCCGCTGATAGGTCAACTGATTATCCTCGAATTAGAATAATTAATTGTTTGGACGAGTCATCGCAGGGAATGACATTCGGATTCTCTTAACGATAAGGGTCACGAGAATTATCCCGTCAATGCTCGTCACCCTCAGGCTAATAACTATCAATTTACTTGTCTCGCGGAAGTGAAAACAGGTTCTGCATAAATTTACTTAGCTGGTTGACGTTATTATGACAACAAATCAATTATAACCGTGGCGATGATTGGTCACTCGGTGTGATCGAATCTCTGCCATTGACCTAGGAATCATTCACAAACGTAATAAAGTATGCACGACTGTGACTGTGTGATTGAAATGAAAGATTCAAAGATGCTTTGCACTGTCCAATTGTAACTTTTTATTTTTTAGACGATGTGTCTGATCACGAGGAGTCTAGTCTACTTAATCACTGTTTATTAAATTCATAAATCTATTTTAACTTAGAGCAAATAATCTGTATTCTGTTTATCAATTTAACGTTAATATAATTCTCGTCTCATAAAGAGTCTAATATACTCTGAATCCAAGACACATCGTCGATATTTATAATATTAAAATTGATATTAGAAAAAAGATTCGCTAACAAGATGGATCTGTGGTTTGTTTCCAGTAGCGGTTCCAGGTTTGAGCGGCGGCATACACGGAAGCGGTCTGATGCCGTTGCACGTGGAGGGCGGCACCCAGGTCCAGGTGCCGCGATCGCTGATGCAAGCGTTCCTGCACCGGGTCTGGAGACGGTGCGACTGCCGACGCCTCTTTGCGGATCCGACGATAACGGTCCGCCGCCACACTGTCGCGAGGTGGAAACGGAACTGTGTCTGGTGTGTCGCCGATGCGGCCGCGCGTATCCGCAGGAGTCGACGCTGCTCGCTCACCAACGCTCTTGCTATTTGGGCAATCAGCAGCGTCGCGGCGCCCTGCGCCTCGTTCAATCTCGGTACGCCTGTTCCCTCTGCGACGGGAACAACCCCGCTCGGACTTACACCACGATCAGCGAGTGGCGGCGTCACGCCGAGACGTTGCAGCACCGAGCCCGGCTCGAGGCGAGCCAAGAACGCCAACAGCAACAGCAACAGTTTGTCAATATCGATACCGAGCCTGGGGGACAGTGCGGCGAGGAGGTGCAGCCGCTCACGGACGAGATGGAGGACGTGGTGAACCAGATCACGCTGTTGGCTGCTCGCGCGGCCGCCGAGAGCACCACCAGTCAGCCCCAGGGTAACGAGAGGACGAGCCAGGACAACAACAACGCTCCCGATGTGAAGAGGCAAAAGCTGGTCCAGGAGGTCGCCGCTCTGGCCGGTGCGCGTTAAAGGAGCTTTGCCTTATCGCGTTATGAATCGTCGCAAAGGCGGACGGGGTGTGCGCAACGAGAACGAAAAGGACCGGAGAGAGAGAGTGTTCGACGGGTGCTCATCGAGAGAGAAGTACTCGACAAAACGAAAGCAAACAACGTTCCTAAACTGGCTAGATAAAGGGGAGGGGATTCCGACCTGTACAGGCAGGAACTATCGCCCGTGGGGTGAAACGGGGGAGGCTTTTTCTTCCGAGGAATCCCGCGGGACCTCCGAGGTTTACTCGAGCGTGGACGGTGGACCAATCACGAGGATGCCGCGCGTTATAGACCTATATCTTCTCTCTACGAAAATGTGTACCTCGTTTTGTTTCGCCCGTGCACGGCCACTGTCGCGCGCGCAATCACCAATTTTACCAAATATTTTTGTTACTTGTACACACAGTAATAAGCGCGCCACCGAGGCAACGCGCTTCATCCAAAGTTCCTTCGATAGACAGAATGCGAGGAGGTTCGGGAGGTAATGTAACCGGGGGACACGTGTAACGGACGAGAGTGAATCGAGTTCACGATGTATGTATATCAGCGTTGCTTTCAGCCGTTCGCGCGATTCAAACGAGTTGTTTTTTTTTCTTCGTATAAACTGATACCGTGTAAACTATATATACCAGTCGCATCGCGATTCGAGAAGGAGACGACTGCGCGGACGAAGAGATCGCGCGCGGAGGAGAAACGGCCCGAGGAGGAAAAATAGTGTGGGGATGGGGGTGAGAAAGAAGAGAAAAATTAACGAGCGACGTCCGCAGACGCCGGACGCGTCGAGGTGGGCTGACTTTAAACGTTCCTATGTAAAGTAATAATAAAGATTTAATGAAAGGAGGAAACAAAAAAAAAAAAAAGTTACTAAACGAGCGAACGAGACGTTCATGGCGCGGCGAAGTAGGATAGATATGACGACGCGACGCGACGTCCGCGGAAACTAGTGCGTCGCGCTCGTGTTTAACGAATACGTACGTACATATTCATCTCTAAATAAGGAACAAGAAGACGAAGAAGAAGTATGAGAAGAAGAAGAAATGAAATGAGAAGAAAATAAGAACGATGAAAACGTGAGAAATCTTCACTCTCTATCTCTCTATCTCTCTCTTTCTCTTTTTACGCGCGTGTGTATGGGTGGTACTGCGAAGAGAGGTGTGCGTCGGTTAGACGGCGAGAACCACGGAGTGTTTAATTAACGATTATCGTTCGTGACGAACGCGGAGAAAATCACGTCATCGCGTTCCTCTGTTTTCACTCGGGATTCACGGGAAACGGACGGTAGGCACGCGGACGATCGGAGAAAATGATTCGTTGGCAGGACTTCCATCGGGTAAGGCCACGCGCACACGTGCACACACTCACACCCAATCACTCTCGACACGTACACACACGTGCATACACGCATACACGAGCCTAGTAATATCCATTTTACGGTGAAAGTTTCGTGGAGGAACACTCACACAGGGCACGACAACCCCGCGGCTGGGAGGGGTTTCATTTTTTCATTTTCGTTAGGGTTCCGGTGAAAACCGTCGCGCGAATTCGTTCGCGGTTTTTTCCGTTCGTTCGTTCGTTCGTTCATTGGCCGCGAGACGAAGCTGATAAATTTCAGGGGTGGGTAAATGCGAGATGACAAAGACTAAAGACGGAAAGGTGGCAAGTGTGGTCGCGATGCCCGTCGTGACACGGAAACGGAGGAGAGCGTTCACGAAACAAGCAAAGACCCAGCAACATGGTTCCTATATTTAATAAAATTATATTTAATAACGCTAAACAACAAAAAACTAACGATTAGTAATAATACTAATGATAATAATAAACATAGTAATAATAATGATAGTAATAATGGTAAATAGTTATAGCTATTTATAGCTGTAATCGATTATTGCTACATAGTTGATCGTCAATCGGTCGGCCGTTTCAACCGGATACGAATCGAGCGTCAGCGCCGATCGACACGGGGGAGGTAAACGGATCCTATTTTCATCGTTTCCCGCGGACACCGGTCGGTCGCCCTCGAGCCCTGGTGCTCGCGGGGAAAGTGAAAACAATAATTGAGAATGACACAAGAGAATGTCGCAGAGCCTCGGTAGAGGGAGGAGAAAGGAAACGTGGCGGTGTCACCTCTCTCGATCGGCGGACTCGGTGGTTTTGTAAAGGTCTGCTCGGGAACGACAAAAGAAATTCACTACTAGCTCGTAAGTTAACGGTTAATTACAACTAAAGAGAAAAACTGTAGATTATAAGGGGGTGGATCGGGAGGATATGCATCGGTAGACGACACACGGACACACTCATGCATAGGTATATATATATATAAAAAGGTATATATATATATATATAAATATAAATAAATGAATAAAGTGAATGAATAAGAAAAAAGGTATATATATATATATTTAAGTAGATAAATATATATATATAAATATATGATGTTGTAACGTACTAGAATCCTCGCGGGTACTGCCCGGAACGGTGACGTGTATACACGCGTACGTACGTCGTGTTTCTCGCGTTCCTTCTTTTTTTTTGTAAAGAGAGCACACACACACACACACATACACACACAGATATATACACACAGTACATAAGACGTAAGGGAAGTGAAGTAAAATGAATATGAACAAAAGGGAAACCGGAACTGTACGTGCGTGCGAGAGAAAACAGAATAAACATCGTAAGGAGCGCTCGGAAAAGGAAATGAAACATGTTGACAAGTACAGAGAGAACGACAGGAGGGAGAGGAAAGGTACTGCCCTAAAAATGAGTTAGCAAGAAGAGAGAGGGGTCGTAGGGGGATACGGGGGTGGCTGCGGCAAGGCAAGTGCATGCGGTAGTGGTCGTTAGGACGTCGAACGTGACGCGAAGTAATAACTATTTGTAAGGTAATTAAGCAACTCGAGGTTCCTGTCTACAAAAGATGCTTTTTCTAATGTAACGTTGATAATATTACATTTGATTATTACGATTATTATTATTATTATTATTATTATTACGATTATCCTGATTATTATTATTATTATTATTATTATTATTATTATAGATTACGATATTATATTTACATATATGTGGTCATGTATTTATTATTATCTGTGTAAAACGTTATAGCGTTGAGCTAAACTTACGCGAGAGGGATGAAGACACACGCGACACGCACACATACACGCATACATACACGCATACACGTACACGTATGGTATACCTAGAGACACGTGTAATTTATCGGGGAAGAAACACGCATTGTACACGAGAATCCAAAATTATCAACGATACCCTAATCCCGTTTTGAAATCGAAGAGACACACAACACCTTGTAACCGATACCTCGCAAAATAGGACAATTGTTACTAATATCTCCGGTGATCACGGGCTAATTAAAAAAGAAAACAAGTAAAAAAACTCGCGTAGAATATTAATCGAGCCGTAGATTAATTAGCGATCCCCTCCCGTTTTTCGGAAACCGCGTAATTAAGGTTTCGCCACGCTATTTCGTCGAGTTCCCGTCGGGCCGACGCAAATAACCGCGAACTGATAACACGATATATCACTAATCTTAGCCGAGACGAGGCGCGAGACATTTCAGATGTAAGGGCGCGTCCCTTTCGCTCCCGCGTACATTTTAAACAAAGAACTGAAGGAAAGTGCGAAGAAATGGGGGGCAAAAAAAAAAAACGAAAGAGAGATACGATATTGCACTTTGGCGCACAAAGAAATCGAATCGACGTCGTGTTCCTTTTGATTGTATACATACACACACATATGTATATGTAAATGAACGCGTATATATGTATACACGGAGTGGGTATTTAATTTTTCTAATCGATTCGCGATCATGCGAGGAGGACCCGGGGAGGACGCGCGACACGACACGAGAGATACACGGGGACATATACGCGCACATGCAGACACGTACACGAAACACGCTGGCGGACACGGTACAATGGTAAAATGGGATACGATGGTCTCGAATCGATATTAACGACGACGCGTGCGTATGTAATGATATAGCGTGATATACGTATATATGTATATGTGCGTGGAAATTCTCAAAACGCGGTGGAGCACGTAGGTACGTGCGCGTGTACGCGACGAAACTTTGGTCGGTTTTGGCGTTTTGAGTTTACGAGTACGGGAGATTGCGTGATAGAGTAACCGAACCTCGCTACTAGCTGTTCCTAAAATCAACAATGATGATGAATGAGTGATAAGCGTGCGCGGATTTAATTTAAGGAGTGCAGAAAAAAAAAAGAAAACGGAAAAGAAGATAAAAGAGATGAAGCAACCTGAGTATGTGAGACTATTATTGCGTTGCGAGAATTTTTCAGCGCCTACCGGCCCGTCACCGTTTTCTCTTCTATCCCTCGAGGAGGCATTATTTCTTTTTCACACAGTCGACACCGTTTCCCTTTCACGGTCGATCATCCAACCACCGAATTCCGCAATCATTCGAAGAACAGATAATAAAAAGCTGAGAAGTTCGCAGTCTCGAGTCTTATCGAAAAAAAAAACACAGGGTCTTTTGGTCGATTCGGAACGAGTAACCGTGAAAAAGAAACGACATAGATTCGTACAGGAATCGCAATTATCTGCTGGTTGGAATTAAAAAAGTAGGGATTGGGCGAGAAGAAGAGAGAGCGGCGAACGGCGTGGAGGTTTTTCAGTTTTCTATAATCTCGTTGAGTTTCTACGGAAAATATGTTAACGCGCGATTATTTATTATTAATCCAATTGGTTATCTCTGTTGCTATTGCAATACGATTATTATTATTATTATTATTATTATTATTATTATAATTATTATTATTATTATTATCATTATTATCGCAATGACCGAAGGGGGCGTTTATTATTGCATTATTAATATCATTATTATTATATGGCTATTATTGTGGTTTCACAAGCAAACGGTTTATCGTCGATCGAATTGTGAATTTGTTCGAGAACTCTACTTTTCATTGACTAATTAATTAATAACGAGATACTAATTGATAAACGATAGCGACTAATTCTTGTGAGAGATTGCCATGTGTATATCTTATATGTACTCACTAACGGGGAGCCCGTGGCTCTGCGGATGGGGGCAGGGGTGGAACACATCACCCCCGTCGCAACCGCCCGTTGTCGGTCGACGCGGTGAACCCCGTAAACGCCGGCTCAGTAACCCCGACGATGTTGGCGCCGCGCCCGATTCGATTATTAATTTAAAAAAAAAAGATGTTCTCCCCCCGCGAAAAGAACGCGAGTTTTCTCCTCTCGACAGGGGGAAGGAGGGCGAAACGGTTTGTTTCGTCTCGAGAGGGCGATCGTCGTGTCGCGGGTACACGATACGATGTAATCCTGTAAAACCTCGTACTTACATACATAATATCGCCTCTCCTCGCGCCTCGCGCCCCGCCCCTTTTTTTGTAAAACAACGCGGAGGCGCGGGGAGACGACTGCTCGTCGAAACCCGTTCACAGCTAACTCACGAGAGAGAGAGAACCGATACCGATCATCCACGGACAAACGAAGTGGGAGTGCGGACGAAAAATATGTTCAACAACAAAGCGAATGGCAAAACCGTGAAAAACAGATAATCGCGTTTCTTATGTTTCTCGCTGACAGAGATGACCGGGAGAGACGCGACGAATTCTTATCAAAATTCTCTTTGACACTCACGTTTGATCGCTTACTGTTTCATACAAATTACAATTCGGACACGCAATTTCATTATCCGTGATTCCATGAGGTTTCTGTTTTTACGTCAAATCAATATCGAATCGCAGGGTCTGAATCCGATCCTACGATTAAGATTCATTTGGATACTTAGCGGACGGCCGGGAGAAATGGACGGTGAACGGCGTTCTTTCTCGATCATCTCGTCCACCCACGCTCGCCCTTGTGTACAAATATATATTTATGGTGCCATACGTGTTATGCGCGCGCGAACATGATCCCGCCGCCGCTGCGCGTTCGCGCGCGCGCGTCTAGATTTTATAATAGAGGGGAAAAAGAAAACGAAAGTGAAAAGTAACGAATAAAAGGAAACTAAGAAGATGAGCGAGCGAGAGGGAGAAAATGCGACGTGCAAGGGCGAAAACTTATCGAGACACGAGCACACACGGAGTACATGATACACATCCACGGACACGGGTAACATTTACACATATACATACATACGAACATAGACACACGCATACATACACGTGCCATGGGAAGATGGCTGTACCTGTATACGTATATAAATATACGCGAGCATACAGTGATGCACATATTTACGTGCGCTATTCCTATAAAAGAAAGAAAAAGAAAGAGAGAACATAACAAAAAAAAAAAATACATAGGAATTTAAGATTTGAGCCGAGGGAGATTACATACATACGCGATCAGGCACCAACATCGTACGGCAAAAATGGGTGCGGTGCAATCATGTTCCTATTAGGTTTCATATCTAAGCGAGTAATTAATTATACCACTAAATATAAATGATGAAGAAGGATATAATGATATTATATATATATTATTGGATATATATATATACATACGATACGATTATATATAGATCTAGTCTATCAAACTGATAAATACCCTCTTCCTTTCATCCCTTCCCTTGATTAAACGCCTAATCGGAAGCGCAACATATCTGACTAACAGCTTTCTTTTNTTTATTCACTTAATTCGTAGCATATAAATCTTGTATACTAGCTTCGTGAATTTTCAAGCTGCGTACCAAAACGTCTGGTTTTGTTCCTTTAATCGAAACTGAACTCATAAGAATTCTCAGTTCCATCGAATCACCGGTTGTACAGAGTGATAGAAATAAACTATTTGACTTTTTTCGTTGTACGGTAAGTTCTCACTTAGATTTTCTTAAAACATTTTTTTATGACAAAAATATTTTAATTTATACGGCGACGCAAAGAAAGGCGAAGAAGAGGAACGCAAACGAATTAAAAATAACTGCGTACGTATTAAATTCGACAATGAAGATACATGAAATCGACGGTGAATCGCGGCACGCGATCGACACGGATGAACGAGGCGCGAATATCGTTCCCATCGCGCGGGATTTCATTTGATTTCCGGTCCACGGAACGCTCCCATTTCCGAGTTCCAATATTAGCTCACCTGGCAATTTGCATAGAGACGGAAAACGCGACCGCGGTTTATGTGCGAGCGACGCGACGCGACGCGACGTTATCACGCGATCATCGGTAACGCCTCGTACCACTCTGCGATGACCCGCGATCCAATTTTTCAATGACGCCATTACCACGTTACGTTACGGATCTCCACGTCCGTTTAATACGAATCAATAACGCAATCTTACTTAATAGTTCAATAAATTTCCTATTAACTACATCTTGGCGATATTTAATTAAAATAAAAAACAAGATATTTGTAGTGCATTTTTTGATAAATATACAATTAATTATAGTTTTGTTATTTTCTTATCGACGAGTATTTAAATACTGGATTATCAAGGTATCGCATTAGGTAAGTATGGATTTTCAATTATACTGTTTAAAAATCTCAATTTCATCAACAATTAAAATTCGAATGTTCAATGTTATCGTATTATACTATTATTTGTTTTATTACTTATTAACAAATCTAATTAAATTGTCAAATTCAAGAAAAGTATTTATCATGAACATTTACTCGTTCCGAGCAAGAAGTGATAAACCATTTACTGCATGGTACTAATTAATTAACTTCTATTGAAGAAATTATCTTTAATAATAGTAACAATACTTTGCAAATAGTCTACACGGATTTGGTTTCCTAAAGAAAGGAGGAACGATAAAGACATTTCGTAAAGGCTCAGAGGGAAAAAATGGTAGAATTCTATGCTGAACGAATAGGGAAATCGCATGAACCCGCAACGTTTTCGAGAAAACGGAACAGCTCGCCCGGAAGAACATGGGAATGAGAGGGGGCGGGGTAGGGAGAAGAGAAGGATCTGAGGGGAGTCTACGGAAGAGTGTTTGCTCGCGAGATGGAACGCAAATTAGGTTTAG